TCAGGGCATACGCCCAGGTTGCAGACTTGATTTCTGGAAGGGGGTGTAAAGGAGGCACACAATCAATGCTTCATTCTCACAATGATGTTTCTCTCTCTCCCTCTCCCTCTCCCTTCCTCTTTAATTTTTAAAATCTTTTAAAAAATTAAATAATAGAATTTTCATCCCATTTTTTCTCTCCTACTTCAACATCCAGAGCTGTGGGACCATAATTAACTTTAGCAGTCAGAGAGGTAACATCTGGGTGGGACATGTTCTACCACCCAGAACATTCAATCCCCCAATACTTCCTTTCAATAGAATTCCTCTCAAGTCTGGGCCAACACTCTGGTAGCCTCATGTTATTTGGAGCCTTTCTTGTTTGTTTTGTTTTCTAAAATGTCAGGTCACAGGTTTTTTGACGTTCAAATGAAGTAATTGTCAAATGTTTGTTATCTATCTATATTCTCTATCTTGGTAACAGTGTAGACAAACATTTCTTTGACAAATTTTTACAAAATTCCTGCTATCTTCCTCAGACTCTGCTGGGTACTGGGGATAAAAAGTGAACATGAAGGACAAGAGCAAAGACCCTGAGTCAGGAAAGTACTTGGCTATTTCTAAAAATGGAAAGAAGACCAATGATATATAACTGAAGTATTGTGTGGAGGAGGGAAGGTGTGCGTGTGTATGTGTACGACACAGAGAAAAGGAGATAATAAATCCTGATGGCTTTGGGAAAATACTTTTGTAATTGAGTGGAAATCTGACCAAACAGATCTGTTAGTTCAGCCGAACAGGCTGATTCCTGCTGCAGACCTCTGGAGTTCTCCTCCCTTTCTAATAAGGTCACTTGCCGCTAGACCAAGGAGCTTTCATCCATGGTTAGATAGATGGTCCTTGCTTTCCTGTCCCTATAAATGTGTAGGGCAGAGCTCAGCAAATTATGGCTAATAGGTCAAATCTGGCCAGCTCCTTGTTTTTGTATGGCCAGTGAAATAATACTTCTTACATTTTAAATTTAAAAAGCAATATAAGATGAACATTCTGTGACACATGTAAGTTATATGAAATTCAAATTTCAGTGGACAAAAAGTTTTATTGGAACACAGTCACATGAATTCATTTATCTATGGCTGCTTTCACACAACAGTGGAGGGAAGTAATTATGGCAGAGACTATACACTCTAGAAACTTAAAATATTTAAGAAACGGTGTGCTGACCCCTTAGCCTAAGGCTTAGAGAGTTACAGAAGTGGGTCCCTCTCCACAGAAATGCTGGCTACTGTGGGTATTATCCAAATATACACACCTCCCAGTGGGATCAGGAGAGCACAGGAGATGGTGTACACCCTGCTACCCCTCTGCTTGTTGAACCCTATTTGATATTTGCTGTGCTTATGCTAGTGGAGTGTGAACAACAGTGTCGTGTGTGTGTGTGTGTGTGTGTGCGTGCGTGCGTGCAAGTGTATGTAAGAGACAGAGACAGAAAGTTTCATTAATCAAATCATATGATGAGGTTTGAGATGTTAAGAAGAGTGAAATAAAAGACCCCAGTTGGAAAACTAATTGAAGTCTGTATGCAAGAGAACAGACTGATCTGATTTTCTTTTTCAAAGAGTGACTGGCTATAGCATGGTGGCAGGTAGTAGAGAGACAAGAGTGGAAACATGAAGCCAGTTACAACTGTGGGAACTACAGATACATGTGTGGATGTGAGATATTATGGGGACAAACTAACAGAAATTGGTATTAAAGTAGATGTGAGGATAAAAGAAAGGATAAAATAGTACACTAAAATTAATTCAGCCAGAAAAAAAAAAAAAAGAGTTCTTAAATATTTAATCCAAGAGATCAATTATTAGACAGTTGAGCAGATACTCCTAAAATTTCAGGAACATCAGCTAAACAACCTTAGTCAAAAATACCTAATTATTATTATTAAAACCTGTTTTTTGTTGTTGTTTTTTGTTTTGTTTTTCCCAAGGTGGTAATACTGATTTATTTTCCTGCTAGCAGATTATGAGAATTCCACATAATATATATCTTAGTCATCACTTGATAGTTTGGGTTTTGTTTGTTTGTAATTTATCTTATTGTTGAAAGTATTATAGATGCCTCCCCTTTTTTCCCTCATTGCCCCTCTCTACCCTACTCCCAACACCCCCCCTCCCAGGCCTTCACTGCACTATTGTCTGAGTCCATAGGTTATGCATATATGCATATAAATTCTTTGGTTAATCTCCTCCCACTCCCCTCCCCCCCTTCTCTCTGAGATTCATCAGTCTGTTCCATGTTTCCATTTCTCTGGATCTATTTTGTTCATTAGATTCCACATATAATTGATCTCATGTGATATTGGTGTTTCTCTGACTGGCTTATTTCACTTAGCATAATACTCCTCCAGTTCCCTCCATGTTGTCTCAAAGGATAAGAGATCCCTCTTTTTTACAGCTGCAGAGTATTTCATTGTGTAAATATACCACAGATTTTACTTACTGATGGGTATTTTAGCTATTTCCAGATGACAGCTATTGTAAATAGTGCTGCTATGAACATGGGGATGCATATATTCTTTCTGATTGGTGTTTCAGGATTCTTAGGATATATTCCTAGCAGTGGAATCACTGGGTCAAATGGCAGTTCCATTAGTAATTTTTAGAGAAAATTCTATACTGTTTTCCACAGTGGCTGCACCAGTCTGCATTCCCACCAGCAATGTACTGGAGTCCCCTTTTCTCCACATCCTTGCCAGAACTTGTTTGATGATTTGTTGATGGTAGCCATTCTCACAGGTATGAGGTAATACCTCACTGTTGTTTTAATTTGCATCTCTCTGATAATTAGTAACTTAATTGATCATAATAAAATTATCTTCTTCTTCTGAATTGGTACTAGACTTATAGACTTAACTTTTTTAGACTCCATCAAGGACATTTACACATAGCAGAATTCATCTTTCGTGTTCCTGTTTATATTCATTACAATCAGTGTGCTCGTGTGACTCCAACATAACTTTGGAAACACCCTACAAAGACCAGGGTACACTGTGAAAAAGGCTAAATACCTAATGTCCCTGAACTGGTACAAAGTGACTTTTAAAAAAAGTTTGACTCTTCTGCTGTCTGTTTTCAACTCCCCTTTATAAAAGATAAGTATGTGGTCTCAGTTATTTCTTGGGCTCCTACATAAATGACTTTACAAGCAAATAAGAGCCCTGACCGGTTTGGCTCAGCGGTTAGAGCGTCGGCCTGCGGTCCAGAGAGACCAGGGTTCTGTTCCCGCTAAGGGCACGTACCTCCGTTGCAGTTGTCCCCAGCCCTGGTTGGGTCGTGTGGGTAGCAGCCACTCAATGTGTCCCTTTCATGTGGATCTCTTTCTCTCTCTCTCTCTCTCTCTCTCTCTCTCTCTCTCTCTCTCTCTCCCTCTCTCTCCCTCCCACTCTATCAGAACAAAAAAATGGAAAGATGTCCTCAGGTGAGGATAAAAAAAAAAGCAAATAAGAAATATGATGGTGCACATATTAGAGCCTATCTCCCTCTCTCCTACCAAGACAGGAGTCTATTAAACCCTATTCCTAGAGTCTACAGATCTGTGGAGATTTATTGGCCTTAAGCATCCATCATGCAGTGTGGTAATCAGGAAATCCTGAGTTCAAAATGACCCAGAGTAGATATTTTTAATTTAATTAATTTATTTATTTTTGTTACAGATGTTTCTCCTTTTCCCCCACTGATTCCCCCCTCATCCTCCCTCCCCGCCCTGTCCCCAGCCTTGTTGTCCATGACCATTGTTCATGCACACATGCATATAAGTCCTGTGGTTTATCTCTCCCCCACCACCCCCTCTTCTGGGGATTGGCAGTCTGTACCCCACTTCCATGTCTCAACCCAGAGTAGATTTTAAAACATTATGTGTTGTCTTACAATTACTTGCCCAGGCACCCCACCCCCTCAACAAAATTATAATCCTTCTCCAAAACAACTCTCTATGCACCCACATACCTATACTTGAGAAGGGGTGTCATTTTGTTGCCTTTTACTCTCTTGGTCCTAGAAGTTTCTCTGAACCTGAATATTCATAGTAAAAACTTATTAGACTCACTGGGCCCCATGCCAAATTTCAAAAAGCAAAACATGGATTTAGCTTAGAAGAAATGGTTGGGGAAACAGACTTTCTCAATGTTGCTCATTTATACATGTATTTACAGAAGGTTCTAATTCATTCCAGGGCCTGAGTGCATGATTGTTTAACAAAGGTATTCTAACTCATTTAGGACAAAAGAAAGTCATCATGCAGATATTCAATCTTTAAAAGCCACTCTGCTTTGAGATGCTCCCAAGTAATTCATGGGGGATGTTTCCAAGTTTTAGCTTTTCATCCCCTACAGATCCACTGCTTTTTAAAACTCCATGTTATCAATACTATCCATAGTTGGTATTATTGGAATAGAATTACATCTATAACTGTAGACTGGGAAAAGACATATCTCTTTTCCAGGTAAGCACAGACCTATTTCAACCTTAATAATTCTTTCAACTTGGTCTACAAGGATTGTTGATTTAACACAGCAGAAAATAAGGTTCATTTCCTCTAGTTTATGTCACTGTTTTACACATGAAATTGGTGTATATTATTAAATTAATAAATTAATTATTTAGTTTGAAATTAGATCAGTTTTTTAGATCACATAAAAGAAGTAATTCAAAAAGTTCTATGACTTTGTGTTACATGGCTACACAATTTGACTCAGTGTCTGCCACAACTGCAATTTGTGTCACCTCTTCTGAAAAGGAAAGAAATTGCATTTTGTAAGGATAGAGCGAGAGTAGATAGATAGAGACTTAATTAATTGTAATGTCTAATTTCATCTTTAAGCATCTCTACATCACTCTCCTTCAAGAGCTAATCAATTCTGACCAAAAGTTTCCTTGAGTCCACAATGAAAACGTGAATAGAAGAAAGAAGCAACCAAGGTCAATATTCAATGTTAAAGGAAAAAAGTAGCTATTGATTATTTTCTTGCCCAAGATAATTTAAATACAAACCTGGGTCCCCATCTGTCTATACCCAGACATGTAATATTTGCTGGTCCTTTCACAGCTCACAAATCCATGAAAACCTCCAACAACTCCAGCACCACCACTGACTTCATCCTCCTGGGCTTCCCTTGCACCAGGGAGGGGCAGGCCCTCCTCTTTGTGCTCTTCTCTGTTGTCTACCTCCTGACCCTCATGGCCAATAGTTCTATCATCTGTGCTGTGTGCTGGGATCAGAGACTCCACACCCCCATGTACATTCTGCTTGCCCACTTCTCATTCCTGGAGATCTGGTATGTCACCTCCACTGTCCCCAACATGTTGGCTAACTTCCTCTCTGATTCCAAGGTCATCTCCTTCTCTGGATGCTTTCTCCAGTTCTACTTTTTCTTCTCCTTGGGTTCTACAGAATGCTTTTTCTTGGCTATTATGGCATTTGATCGATACCTTGCTATCTGCCAGCCTCTACACTATCTAATTGTTATGACTGGACGTCTCTGCACCAATCTTGTGGTCAGCTGCTGGGTACTTGGTTTCCTCTGGTTCTTGATTCCTATCATTGTTATTTCTCAAATGTCCTTCTGTGGCTCCGGGATTATTGACCACTTCCTCTGTGACCCGGGTCCTCTTCTAGCACTCATTTGCAAAAAAGTCCCTGTGGTAGAGCTTGTCTTCTCCATTTTAAGTCTTCTGCTTCTCATCATTCCCTTTCTCTTCATTATGGTGTCCTATGCTCTGGTCCTAAGAGCTATATTGAAGGTCCCTTCGGCATCTGGAAGAAGAAAGGCCTTCTCCACCTGTGCGTCTCATCTGGTTGTGGTTTCACTGTTCTATGGTTCAGTACTGGTCATGTATGGGAGCCCAACATCTGAGCATAAAGCTGGAATGCAGAAGATTGTGACTCTGTTTTATTCCATTGTGACCCCACTTCTTAACCCTATAATATATAGTCTTCGGAACAAAGATATGAAAAAGGCCCTGCAGAAATTTCTGGAAATATAAAAAGTGTTAGTCAACTGACTTTGGGGTAATTAAATCTCAAAATTGTGTTTGACTTGTTTATAAACATTTTTTAAATGGCATTTAACTTATGTTCAGGTTAAAAAAATAGTTTTATTCAGATAATTGTTCATTTTACTATTGACCAATGCCTGTCAGTATGTGTATGTTGTTTATTTCTTCCCTTAGTTTTTGATCATTTGTCTTGTTTCCTAGCATTCCTCGTTGTTGTTGTTTAAATTGAACACTGGGCAATATATTTTAAAAATTGTGAAGATAATGGGTGTAGTAACTCAACAAAAGATTTCTTCTAGCAGTAGATACAGTAGAGGCAGATGACTTTGATCTCATTTAAGGACTATTTTTTGGTGTTATAATAATGGTCTATGTGAGGGGCAAGGGAGGGACATCTGTAATACTTTCAACAATAAAGATAAATTTTAAAAAATAGTCTATGCAAGTTTCATTCTTACTTCTGGGTTGTAACCCATACTCCTGGAACATAGCTTTTCTGAGGTCTCACTGCAAAAGCCTAGACTGTTTTTAGGACCCCCCCCCCCACCTTAGTGGGCAATGACTTCCTCTTTTTGTGTTCTTTGAACCCCATGACTCCTGAAACCTATGCTCAGCTCTGTAGACTCCCAGTTTCTGCTTTCTGCTAGATTTCTTGAATATGAAAGGCTTAGAAATGAAAAAGTGCTTTGAAAAGAGATTACATCACATTTTGATCCTCACTTTTCTGTGGTCCTTCACTCTCAGGATTTGGTTCTCAAACCCCAGCTGGTTTTGCAGCCACAAACACCAAATCCTTTATCTTCTCAGGTCAGTGAAACTACTGGCTTCTGCTGAGACTTTATCATTCCTTCTCCCCATTCTTTCCCACCTGCCTCCATCTCCCATGCTCCCCCTTCCCAGTGAAATGTCATGTCTTCAGGGAAAACACCCAATGTGAATGTGGAACTCTTTTCCTGTTCCTTTCTTCTTGGAATTTCAGTCTCTGAAGACTTTCCTGTGTTGATTGCTCTTCAGTGCCTTCAACTGGTTGTTTTATATGTTTTGTCCAGATTTTCTTGTTACTTTGGGCAGAATGGTTAGTTTAATAAAACCTGCCTAGTCATGACGATAACCAGAAATGATTTTTACCATATATTCTCATTTATTTCCCAGACTTGTAGACCTGTTTTTCTTTTTATTTCAATCAGCTTCGTATTCCTATGATTCCACCCTTGCAAGCTAGACTGGGGATGGAGATGGGGCAGGGGATGGGGGTTGGGGAGCGTTGTGCTTCTTACACTAAAATGAGAGGTAAAACCAGTACCACAGAAAACAGATTTAGGCCTTTTTAATTTAGTTCTGTATTATGGGAGGTGCTCAGCCATTGTAGATCAGTAAAAACATTTACTCAGGATTTGCGTTAGTAACTTGGGTTAGTTCTCCTTTAACTCCCTCCTAAGCCTTGAATAAAAGGCCCTCATTATTAAAGTGTCTTGACCAAATCAACTACCTGATTGTGCAGATGAAGAAAATAACAATTGGGAATCAGAAGTGATTTGCTGAGAAAAATAACTTTAATGATACAAAAAATAATAATTTCTATCCATCATCTGTTTTACTAGCACAAGTAGCTTTTTCGTTATTAACTAATCTTATATTCCTATCTTTAGGACTTCTCCATTATTTGCCCATCAATAATTTAGGACTTTTCAATTATTATCCAGTTAAATAATCTTTGTTTCCTTAATATACATAAACTCTGTAAATAGTAAGAGAACAGAACAACATCCCAATGGAAAAATAAGAAAAATTATATAAACAAATAACACAGAGAAATGATTCTTAAATATATGGAAAGAGCACTCATTCATTTATGAAATACAAAGGCAGAATAAGTCCATAATGGTACCTCATTTTTAACCCATCAGAGTGACAATTTGATAACACTGTGGTTGAGGATGGTAAAATGGGTTCTCTCACACTTAGTTGATGGAAGTGTAAGTTTTACAAACTATATCGAAAAATTATGAAACTTCTATCAGAATGTAGAGGCATATGCCCCGCAACCCAGAAACTCAACTTCTAAGAGACGTAGCCCTTACATATTCTCACACATGTTAGAAATGATGAAAGCATAAGAATATTGATTTGCAGCATTGTTGTAATAGCAAAATGTTGAGAAAAGGTGTTGTAAGGCCTGCAAGATCCAAGGAGTCACATAACTTTGGGGAAGGAATCAGAGGAGAAACTGAAACCACCAATCAAATACCTCCCCTCTTCATTATGCAGAATCACCCCACCTTACCCCTTGACCAATCAAGTACCTCCCCTCTTCATTCCTCCACCTCCCCTATAAAACTTTCCTGGGCAGACATAACAGCTTGACTTTCCTGGCCCAAACCCCTGGACCAGCAAATGAACCTCGCCAGGAGTGCTCCAGTAAAACTTTCTTGTCCGCTTTTGTGGCTTCGTTTCTCTTTCTTCATCGGCAAGAAACCTGAGAGGAGCTTGAGCCCTCCTGGGCCACTCCTCTCCCTCTCTCCGGAGGAAGACCAGGGACCACCGACCTCCTACCCAGTTTGGCATGTGGTGTTATAAGTCCCCCTTGCCCTTGGCCTCCCCTCAGTTCTTTCTGTCTCCGGGGCTCCCTGTCCATAATGGTGGCCACATCAGGGACCTCCGATCCGTTCTGGGTGTGTGGGGCTCTGAGGAGACGTCCCAGACACCCACCCACACACACACACACACACACACACACACTCTATCCATCTGTCCGGTAACCAGAGATTGATTTGCAGAACGCCAGTTCTCATCTCTGATCACTCCAGAACTGAGGCTGACCATGGGCAATCAGGAATCTCGACCAGACTTGGAGATTCCATTAGGGTGTCTCATACTAAATCTCTCAAAAATAGATCCCTCTCGCCCTGGCCAGTTTGGCTCAGCGGTTAGAGCGTCGGCCTGCGGTCCGGAGAGACCCGGGTTCGGTTCCCGCTAAGGGCACGTACTTCGGTTGCAGTTTGTCCCCGGCCCTGGTTGGTCGTGCGGGTGGCAGCCACTCGATGTGTTCCTTCACGTCGATGTTTCTCACTCTCTCTCTCTTCCTCTCTCTCCCTCCCACTCTATCTGTACAAAAAATGGAAAAATATCCTCGGGTGAGGATAAAAAAAAAAAAAAAAAAAATCCCTCTCTAAAGAAGAAACTTACCTTCTTCTCCACTGTGGCCTGGCCACAATATCCACTAGACAATCTATCTAGATGGCCTCCTGAGGGGACTTTCAATTTTAACATACTCACCGACACAAAACTTTTGCCAAAGAAATGGGAAATGGTCGGAAATCCCTTACATTCAGGCCTTTTGGTACTTGCGCTCCCGTCCTAAACTGTGTGCCTCCTGCTCCATGACTCAGGTCCTCCTAGCCAAGGACACCCCTCCAACCCCTCTGCTCCTGACCTTTCCTCGTTTGCTGACCCCCCAGAAGAACTTTCTCTGCCCCCTATCTGGCCTGATCCCACTCCCAATTCTCCTCCGCCATACCTAGGTCCGTCTTCCCCTAAGCCCTCTTTGCCTCCAGCCTCTGACCCCACTCTCCCCTCCCCTGTTAGTGCCCACACCCGATCACATCGTGCCTCACAGGAACAAGTCAACCTTCTCTGCCCTCTCTGTGAAGTGGGGAAATAGAAGGGTAGTTCGGGTCCATGTTCCTTTCTCTCTTTCTGACCTATCTGCCATTGAAAAATGCTTAGGGTCTTACTCGACTAACCCCACCACCTTTGCCAAAGAATCCAGATACCTCACTCAAGCTTATGACCTCACCTGGCATGATCTCTATGTCATTATGTCTTCTACTCTCACCCCCGATGAACACGACCGTATCCAGATGGCAGCATGGGCCTATGCCTACCAGGTACACCTCACAGACAACCAAATGCCTGTCAGGACTCTGGCGGTCCCCCAAGGCAGAACCCAATTGGACTTACCAAGCAGGACAGGACGGTAGATGTAGATGAGATCAGATGGTCCAATGCCTCTTAGCAGGCATGCAGGACACAGCCCAAAAGGTAGTTAATTATGACAGACTAAAGGAGATCACTCAGGGACCTGATGAAAATCCGGCACTTTTTCTGAATCGTCTGACCAATGCTACGATTCTCCACACCCTACTAGACTCTACCTCAGAGGCACAGGCTACAGTCCTAACTACACATTTTATCTCCCGATCAGCTTCAGATATTAGAAAGAAACTTAAAAGGGCAGAGGAGGGCCCTCAGACCCCTATCTGAGACCTGATAAACATGGCATTTAAAGTCTTTAATGCCTGGGAAGACAAGGCTGAGGCCACACATTGGGCCCAAATGCAGCGGAAGATAAACCTCCAAACCCAGTAGCAGCCCTGAGGCCAGCAGCCCAGCACTGGCAGGGTATGGGGAATGCCTGACCTAAGGAACATTGGGTCTTTGGGCCTCCAAAGGCCTGTTTCAAATGTGGCAATGAAGGCCTCTGGGCTCATCAGTGCCCACGCCAAAAGCCACCTACAAAACTGTGCCCAGACTGCAAACAGCCTGGTCACTGGCATAGCAATTGCCCCTTCCAGGCAACGGGCTCATCCTCAGCACCTCCACATGGGGGACAAGCTGGCCAAGCGGGTCCATCGCTTGAACTCCTCAGCCTCATTGATGACTGACATGGCCCGGACTCAAGAACCCCATCACCCTCACTGAGCCCAGGGTAACGCTACAGGTAGCAGGTAAGTCCATCTCATTCTTAGTGGACATGGGAGCTACCTTCTCTGTTCTGCCATCTTACTCCAGGCCTCTAGTTGCTTCTCAGGTCTCGGTTATGGGAATTGATGGAAAACCCTCCTTTTCCCCTCGAACTTGGCCTCTCTCATGCATTCTGGAAGACTACCCATTCTCACATTCCTTTCTAGTCATGCCCTCTCGGCCGATACCTCTTTTGGGTCAAGACATACTCCACAGCGTTGGAGCTACCATACAACTGACATCTC